CTATCCTACCTGGATAGTTTCCAGTTTAGGGTTCTTACAAATAGTGCCATTGTTAATACTCTAGTATGGACAGTTCTAGAATGCTTGTTTTGAAAACAATTCTCCAACATGACTATTAGAGCACAATATGAATAAATTTTTTTTATAATGCATAATGTAAACTATATGTTTGCTCATGTACAATTTTGTCCAACAGAAAACACAAAACTACATCCAGATAAAATGAGTAATGCAAGAATACATAGAACACACATTTGGCCTGGCCAATTTACCTCAGTGGTTGAGTGTCTACCTATGAATCAGAAGGTCACAGCTCCATTCCCAGTCAGGGCACATGCTGAGTTTGCAGGCTTGAGCCCCAGTAAGTGTCGTGCAGGTGGCAGTTTATAGATGATTTTCTTGCATCATTGCTATTTCTATCTCTCTCTCCCTCTCCCTTTCTCTCTGAAAAGTCAATAAAAACTATTTTTTAAAAACACACATTTGCACACACCTCAAGCACCTACTAGCTACCTTAGTTCATCATGTGCATTATGTTACAAGTTTGTGTTTTGCTGTTCCTTTATTCATGAACTTTCTATATTTAAAAAACAACAACACACAAACACATACAAGATCCCAAATATGATTAAGCATCATAGTTATAAAGTGCTCAGCAGGGTACATAAAAGACTAAATATTGAAAAGAGCTAGAAAAAGCTTCTGATCAATAGTCATAAAGGAATCCATGTTTGGATCATCAGAAATAACATCGTAAAAACAAAAGTTTAGTTCAGAAAGACTAGAACAATTTTAAATTCTTATGTCTATAAGCATAAGGCCTGAATAATGAAGAAAACAAAAATAAAAACAGAAAGATTGTTGAGCATGTGAACTGAAAACCAAACAGTTAAAAAAAAAAAAAAAAAAAAAAAAAAAAAAAAAAAAAGGCAGGAACAACATTTCTCACAATCTAAGGAAAAACAGCATTTATATGCCTTGGCCTTCCATGGAAACTACCAGAGCCTGCTGAAGTGGCTCCTTTTACAGCTAGTAGTGCCTGCTTTAGTGGTTTCAGACTTTACCTCCTGGGCAAAGCCAGAGTGCAAATGTGAATTCCCAGTAGTGGCACAGAGTAAGTTAACTGCTGAAACCGGTTTGGCTTAGTGGATAGACCATCGGCCTGCAGACTGAAAGGTCCCAGGTTCAATTCTAGTCAAGGGCATGTATCTTGGTTGTGGGCATATCCTCAGTAGGGGATGTGCAAGAGGCAGCTGATCGAAGATTCTCTCTCATCGATGTTTCTAACTCTCTATCCCTCTCTCTTCCTCTCTGTAAAAAAAAAAAAATCAATAAAATATATATTTTTAAAAAAAAGAAATTAGTTAACTGACAATGAGGGCTATCCATTGGAGCTTTTTGTTTGGTTGGTTGGTTTTGGCTTCTATAAAACAGGGATCTATCACATGACTCTAAGGACCTATACCTCAAAGACAGAAAAGCATGGCCCAGGATGTGCAGCTGTGACAGATCACACATGTGGAAACTTTCCTATTGTAAATTGAATGAAGGTTTCCAAGAAAACATGTCCTGAGACCTCTTCCTGCAACCTTATTTGGAAAAGAACTTTTGCACAAGTGAGTAAGTGCAGGATCTAGATGAGAGCATTCTGAACTACATGGGTGGGCCCAGAGTATCTTTTCAAAACACAAAAGAGAAGGAGAGAGACAGAAGGCCATGCGAAGACGGAATGCAGGGATTGCAGTGATGTGGCCACAAACCAAGAAGTACCTGGAATTACCAGAGCTAAGAGGGACAGCAAGGACTCTCCCCGCTCGCCTTTGAGGTGCCCTGCAGACACCTCAGTTTTATATTCTGCTTATCTGACTATACCCACATCAAAAAGGCATCCGGCACACTGTTTCCTGATAGAGAATTCAGTTTCCCAGAAACAATATGAAATGGGAAGCAAAGGAAAGGAGCTCACTCGAGTCCATTTTAAATCCACTTTACACCCTCCCTATTATAGAGAACCAAACTCAGCATCTCCTAAAGACAAGGAAAAAATATGAAAATATTTCTTTTAGATAAAAGCTATGATTAGTAAATCGTAGTCCACGTAACTCAGATAGAATGAGTCGGTCCTATGTTATGCTACAAGCGTTGTTGTGGACACTCTGAGCATGACAGCAGAAGGGAACAGCCGTGTGATGAGATAGAGCCATGCGCTTTGCCAGAAGCTGAAGAAGGAACTGGCGGAGCAAGCACACCTTTGAACATGACTGGCTGTGCAATGAATAATTAATCACATCAGGATCTTTGTTTGATGTTCTAATTTATAAAATATTTTCAACCATCACTGAACATGATGCTCTCACATGAGTTTATAATGTTAGCAACTAACATTTGTAAGAGTTGACAGAATTGCCAAAAGATTTGCATATTTGTTTTTAATTTGATTCTCAGCTTTGCAGATAAGCAAACAAAGGCTCGGGGGGGGGGGGGGAAACATATTTAAATAGACTGATTTCATATGGCTAGGAATTTTCAAAGCTGAAATTAAATCCAGAATGTCATTTTTTGAAAACTTAAACGTCTAAGAATGCTACTCCCCAGAAATAATCAGTATTTACCTGTTGCCATTTAACTTTCCAGAACTGTACATGTCTGTGGGTACATGAATAGCAGCATGAATCAATATTTACTGTTGTAGCAGGCTATTTCCACTTAGGAATATAATGAGAGTGGTTCTCCATACCTATAAATATTTTCTTTTTTATATTTACTATGACAGTGCTTTTATCGTTATAAGCATAACAAAGGATTCAAGATTTGAGCAGTTTAAAGACTTTCACATTTCCATCTCTATAAAAAATAAGTATATCTTCTCATATATAAACATCTTACATCCTTCCTTTTATTTCTTTTTTTATGGGATGTATTGGTGTGACATCAGTTAATTAAATTCTGTAGGTTTCAGGCATAAAATTCTATAACACATTATCTGCATATTGTATTGTGTGTTCACCATCCCAACTCAAATCTCCTTGCACCACCATTTATCCCTCCTTTATGTTTTCCTACCTCCCCACCACCTTTTTCCTCTGGCAGTCACCATACTGTTGTCTGTGCAAATGAGCTTTTGTGAGTTTGTGGGGGGCGTTTTTTTTGCTTAATCCCTTCACCTTTTCATTCAGCTCCCCAATACATCTCCCCTCAGATAGCTGTCAGTCTGTTCTCTGTATCTGTGAGTCTGTTTCTATTTTGTTTTTTAGTTTATTTTTTTCATTAGATTCCACATATTAGTGAAATTAATTTATCTTTGAAGACAAGAGAAAGACATCCTTTCTCTTTCATATAAATGCAAACTTAGAATATGCATGGCTCTGCGTTTCTCTTTTTGCACTTAATAATGTATTATTGGAAACTTGCATCTCACTACAAACATAGAAAATGTCATTGGATGGATATACCAAAACAAACTTAACTGGCATTCTTTTTTTTTTTTTTTAATATATTTTATTGATTTTTTACAGAGAGGAAGGGAGAGGGACCTAGAAACATTGATGAGAGAGAAACATGGACCAGCTGCCTCCTGCACACCCCCTACTGGGGATGTGCCCGCAACCAATATACATGCCCTTGACCGGAATCGAACCCAGGACCTTTCAGTCCACAGGCTGACACTCTATCCACTGAGCCAAACCAGTTTTGGCAACTGGCATTCTACTAATGAAAATTAATGTTTTGGTGATTGTTTTCACTATTAAAATAATGTTGCAATAAATACAACTAGCAATAGCAGAAATAGTGGTGTTTCTAATATTGCTGTTATTATTATTACTACTAGAGGCCTGGTGCACAAAATTTGTGCACTGGGGGTGGAGATCTTCAGCCCAACCTGCACCCTCTCTCATTCTGGGACACCTCACTTCTTACCACCTGCCTGCTTGCTGCTCCTTACTGCTTGGCTCAGTGCTCCTTAGCACTACTGCAGAGGCAAGTAGAGGCTCCTGCCACCACCACTGCACTCGCCAGCCATGAGCCCGGCTTCTGGCTGAGTGACGCTCCCATACTGACCACCAGGAATTAGCTCCTGCATTGAGTGTCTGCCCCTTGGTGGTTAGTGTGCATCATAGCAACCAGTCATTCCACTGGTCATTCTGCTGTTCAGTCAATTTGCATATTAGGCTTTTATTATATGGGACCAGTGCATGAAATTCATGCACTTAAGGTGGGGAGGGGTATCTCTCAGTCCAACCTGTGCCCTCTCACAGACTGGGAGCCCTGCGATTGATCACCCCAAAGAGGTAGGCCCTGCCTACCTGCCACAGCCTGCAGGTCAGTGGCCTGGGCCTCCCTCTTTGTGGTGATCGTGGGGCCCCTCAACTCATTGATCAGCCCACTGGCCAGTGGCCTGGGTCTCCCTCTGCAGGGTGATCATGGGACAATGGCCGGGTCCCAGACCAGTCGCATAGCACCCACCTTGGCTGGCCTGCTGCCAGTGGGTGTCATAGCATGGTCAGCTGGAAGGTCATCCAGACAGTTGTTCTGCTGTTTGGTCAATCAGTCGATTTGGATATTACGCTTTTATAAATTTTTTAATATATTTTATTGATTTTTTTACAGAGGGGAAGGGAGAGGGATAGAAAGTCAGAAACATCGACGAGAGAGAAACATTAATCAGCCACCTCCTACACACCCCCTACTGGGGATGTGCCCACAACCAAAGTACATGCTCTTGACCGGAATCGAACCCGGGACCCTTGAGTCCGCAGGCCGATGCTCTATCCCCTGAGCCAAACCGGTCTTGGCTTTTATTATTATTAATTATTATTATGCACCGGGCATTATTCTAAGTAATTTACATATAAAAACTCATTTAATACACAAGCCAACTTTAAGAGGTAGTCACTATTATTATCTTACTTTTATAAATGAGAAAACCAAGGTACATAAAAGCTAAATAAATTGCCCAAATTACACAGATGGTAAATATGTGTATATTTCCACATCTATACTAATAAAAGGGTAATATGCTATTTAGACCAGGTCGATGGCCATATACCAGACATCAGACTTCCATCCAGACAAAATCATGGTGATAGGGCCGAGGCAGAGGCAGTTAAGTGCAATCAGGTGATAAGGGGAGGGCAGTTGGGGGTGACCAGGTTGGCAGAGGAGGGCAGTTGTGGGCAACCAGTCTGACAGGAAGGGCCATTGAGGTGAGCAGGCTGGCAGGGGAGATCAATTGGAAGCAACTAGGCCAGCAGGGGAGTGCTGTTGGGGGTAATCAGAGGAAGGAAGTTGGGGGCATTAGGTAGGCAGACAAGTGAGTGGTTAGGAGCCAGTGGTTCTGGATTGTGAGAGGGTTGTCTGACTGCCACGGAGGAGTCCTGAATTGGAGAGGATGCATGTCCGGCTGAGGGACACGCGCCACCCCCCCCCCGGACCCCCCCCCCTGTACTAATTTTGTGCACCGAGCTTCTAGAATGTTAATAAATAGATAGGAAATTTTCCATTATATCACAAAGAATATGCATTATGTTTTTATTTATATTGCTAAATTGTCCTTTAATGAGGTTATATCAATTACATACTCCCTTCAACAGTGTATAAAATTTCCAAAATCCTTCTATTTATCAGTGGTGGGCATTGTGAAACTTTGTACTAATTTAATAGGTGAACAAATCAAATTGCTGTTTCTGTTCAGCAATTAAATTGCTGTAATTCTAATAAAATTTAGGTAACTTCATTTAATTATTAGATATTTATACTATTTTCCTATAACCTATCTGTACTATAAATGTGTGTGTTTTTAATATTGGGTTATCGGTATATAAGATTTCTTAATATACCAAAGAAAACAATCCTGTAGCTATAATATATTTGCAAAATTTTTCCCAGCATGGCTTTTTAAATTTGCTCACAAAGTTTTTATAGCTGCATTTTTTGAGAAACTAAGTTTAATTTTTATGTAGATTTCGCAGTCTGAAAAAAATATTATAGTTTTTCTTATTTCCTTTCTTTGTATGTTTTTGTGTATACCAATCTTCATATCTACGGTACCTCTCTTTGTGTCTTTCTATCCTCCCTCCTACTTATTTCTTTCCTTTTTCTGTTTATTTTCTTTCTATTTTAATCTCTAATACAAATTGTTGAGTTAAACACATTCCTTAGATCACATGTGTCAAACACAAGGCCCGCGGGCCAAATCCGTCCCACCAGGCCTTGCAATGTGGCCCTCACTGCGCTGTCATCACTGCACTCCGCTGCGTTTCCATCACAATGACAGTTTATGACTGTTCAGTAAACCATTCTGCCCGCGATTTAGGCTGGATTTTAGATTTTGGCCCCTTCTCTGATTGAGTTCGACACCCCTACCTTAGATTAAAGCTCATGGTTATTGAATTTTATTGTATTTTCCCTCAGCCTTTCCCTCACTACTCTCCTCCCTTATAGAATCCTACTCAAAGATGTTTGAAGTATGTCATTGTAAAGCTTCATTTGGAGAGAAAGTTGGCTACTTGCATTTATTTATTATAATCTCTCTTTTTCTTTTTGTAATCCTTACCTAATTCTATTTTTCCATTGATTTTAAGGGAGAGTGGAAGAGAGAAAGGAGGGGAAGAGTCTAGAGAGAAAAGCATTGATATGAGAGATAAATCTATTGGTTGCCTCCTACATGCACCCTGACTCTAACCAGGGAATAGAGCCTGCAACGGAGGTAAATGCCCTTGACCAGGAATTTAAACCATGACCCTTTGTTTTGGTCTTTGGACTGACACTCTAAACACTGACCAGGGCTGTAATATCTCTTTAAATACACATATGCATATACAGCATATCTTTATTTTAAATATTTTAACTTACCTAAATAACATCATGCTATAGATCTTTCTCTATTTATTAATAATTTCACACAAGGCTGTGTTTTGAAATCAGTCCATTTGATTTTCTGTCCCAGTATCACATTTATTACCTTGGACATGGGCACCTCCATTGCCCATCTCAAAATATGTCAGGATAAACAGCCTTGCCCTTGTCTGACTGCTGACGTGAATGAGCAGAACGCTGGCTTGTATGCAACACTCATACTTAACTTCTCGAGGTGTTGTCAGATCGCCCTTCAGAAACAAGGCACCATTTCACATGTTCACCAGAAGTAACATTTTCTTTCCTCCATATCTTGGTTGACACCAAGAATTGGATAACATTACAATCTTTGACAATCTTGGGTATAAAATGAGATCTTCTTCTTTCAAATTGTATTTCTTTGATTATAAGAAGCATTGAACACCTCTTTAATTTTTAACCATTCAAAATTTTCTTCTTTTTAGTGTCTAATATTTAAATCAGTTGGCAGTTGATGGTGAAAAGATAAGCTAAAGTTGAATAATTTCAAAACCCTTCTTTAGAGTAAACTACTAAATCTTAGTTACAGTTTATCCACTATGTTATTAACTCACTATCTGTCTTCCCTCGTTGAGGATGACTTCCCAGGGAGGGCTGACAGTCAAACAGACTCACTAGTCCACCTGAATAGGGTTCACACTGCCCCGAATTCTAATCCATCAGTCAGTAACTCTGATTGCACAAACTCTATGCCAACACACACAACTGATATTTCTTAATATTATTCTTGTTTATAATACCTAAAGTTAAATAAAACTTCTAATTCCTTCCTATATCCCTAATAAAAACGTTTTAATAGCACTACAGTAAAATGATCTAAAATGAACATTTTCAACTTTGCCTAGAAATTGGTGCTCAGCAGGATGGAGAAATGAGATTTGTGAGGCTATGGATTTAAAAGCTACAAAACAAGTGTTCCTAAGCAGCAAATAAGCAGCAAATGGTTCAAAATTTTGGAAAGTAATATGAAAATGCAAGTGAATATTTCTTTGACCCAGCAATTACACTCCTGATTTGATATAGAAAGCAATTCAATAGATGAGAACTATGCCTCCCCTGAAGATATTCACTGTAGGGGAAATACATTTACAAAGGAAACCGGTTAATTTGATAACAGTTAAAACTACGATGCATCTAGGTAAAGCCTGAATTTGGAATCTCTTATGTTCATTTTTAAATGTATTTTAGTATTTTTGTATTTTAATGGTAAATAGGCCTCTGAAAATTTAATCAATAAAAAGACATGTTTATTTCTTACGATTTAATAAGCTATGTACCATTGAATAGGTCAGAAGGGATAAATACAAGTGGCTTGAGCAGGGTGGAGATGAAGGATGAGAGTGGTAGGGATCAGAGCCTCTAACAAAATCTGAAACTTCAGGTTTTTAGAAGTGCAATTTTGGGTTTATGTATTAAATGGGTCTTTAAGAGCAATTAATCTTAAATGAAATGTGTGCTAAGTATTGATTATTAAGAATCAGCACAGTGTGAAGAAATGCTTTCTGAACCCATAGTTGTAGGATGCATATTAAAATATCGAACCAACTTTACTCTCTGAGCATCTAGACAAAGTAATTGCTTGTTGAGCCCTGTTTTCTCTGATATTGCTGATCTGTGATAAGGAAAGCTTTTCAGTGGAGGAGGCTCTTTTGGCATGTATGACTCCCATTCATCTCCTTGGAATGAATTTTCAGTTTGTGTGAGGGTATGTCCCTGCTTTTCCATCATTTGAATGATGAAAGATGATGGATAAACCCGATTCAGACTTTATTATTGGAATAATGCTTTTACCAAATCATTTTAAAGAGGAATCCATGCATGTTAACTAAAAATGCTCAGAGCCCAGCCAGTGTGGTTCAGTGGTTGAGTATTGACCTATGAACCAGGAGGTCACATTTCGATTCCCAGTCAGGACACATGCCCTGGGCTCCATCCCAGTGTGGGCATGCAGGAGTCAGCCTACCAATGATTCACTCTCATTGATGTTTCTATCTCTCCCTCTCACTTCCTCTCTGAAATAAAAATATATTTTTAAATGCTCATAGATTCATATATTTCAAGTATATTTTATCCTTGAAGGGAATTATATAACTGTCAAACTATGAAGATGGAAAAGTTATAATCCATATGCTCATGACTCTTAAATTCTAATCCCCAAGTTTAAAAACCTCTATTTCTGGGATGCAACTCACATAAATCAACTTACCAATTGGCACTTCTATTTGGGCGTCTTAAAGACAGTGCATTCTAATTGTACTCTATAGTGAACATCTCTTTCTCATGCAAACCTTCTACTCTTCGAAATCCCTTTCCCACTGAATGAAAGCACTATCTACTCAGCTTTCCAAGCCAAGATCATCCTTGGTTTCTCCTCCCTGATCTCCCACAACCAAATAATCAACAAATTCTATTGATTATGTTGCTTACGTTTCAGCTAAAATCCATCCATTTCTCATAGATTCTTTACACATAAAGTATTAAAGATTTAAAAAGATTGCATACTTATAAATAATAATATTCTAATATTATCATACTTTTTTCCCCCACTAAACACTTGGGAAATAAGCAGGGATTTTTTAAATATCATTTTGAGATAAGGAATAAAGATTTAGAAGAAATGAAATTCAATCCAGTTTTTCCTGATTTTCATTTAAAGTTATGTACACTATATTATGAAATGTATTTTAAAAAGTGTCAATGGGGTGGCTACTTCTAACCAAATCTCCCTAGAAGATCATAAAGAGAGAATACCACTGGTTTAATTTTATGTTTTTAATATATTTTTATTGATTTCAGAGAGGAAGAGAGAGGGAGAGAGAGATAGAACCATCAATGATGAGAGAGAATCATTGATCGGCTCCTTCCTGCATCCACTGGGGATTGGTCCTGCAACCCAGGCATGTGCCCTGACTTCCTGAGCCACTTTGGCTGGGCCCACTTGTTTCACTTTAAAGATCTGTGAGTCTTGGGGCAGAGCTTGAAGATGGCGACCGAACAGATGGACTTGTTCTGACTCCGTTCCCAAAACAGATAAAGGCAGAGTCTGAGTAGCTCAGGGAATGTGGATTAGCAGCTAAAGGGCAGCAGATATCTCTAGGAAAGTAAGGAAGGGTCCGCTGGACAGGAT